ATATATATGTATCTTCCTATTAAGTAATTCACTTCCATGTGTCTGATCAAAACATCTTATAATTTACACATGCAATTATGATATACTCTATTTCAGCTAAAGTCCACGTTAAGCTTCAATTCACAGGGTGAAAAACAATTCTAAAATGAAGATATCTAAGAAATAAATTGGTTTAGAGTTCTCCCTGTGTCAGACCAGAGAGGGCTGAAAGCCTTCTCAAACATCCCCAAACAAGTGAAAACCAAAAAAGCATGCTGAGCTGGGCATGATGGTGCATGCCTGTAATCCCAGCACTCAGGAGGCTGAGGCAGGAGGATCACTGTGAGTTCAAGACCAGCCTGGGCTACAAAGTGAGTTCCAGGTCAGTCTCAACTACACAGTGAGACCCTGTCTCAAAAAAAAAGCATGCTGAGCCTGTGCTGCTCTCCACAGGGCATTAGACTTCTTCTTTTCTCCCCAATGTTGAGCTACATCCTTATTTTGAGCCAGCATCCTGCTACGTTGCCCAGGCTGGGCTCAACTCTCGATCCTTCTGCCTCAGCCTTCCAGTGATAGGACTACAGGCATGCGTGTTCAGGGCTCATGTCCTTGTCCCTCTCCAGGTACACAAAAAATTCCAAAGAGACCCCGGTTTCCTATATTTGCAAAATGTAGTAACTAACTGAGCAAAGGAGGGTCCTTGCTGAGCGCTCTAAGGCCCTCTCCCAAGGGCTGGGCCGTGCACCTTACTCAGACACACTCCCGAATTTCCTGACCACAAGCCACAAGCAGGGACTCGCTACAGACGCACGTACATGGTCGCCATTGCGATGTCCCGTTCCGAAAGGCTGAGCTTAGTTGACTTGGGTACAGCTGGTAATTCAATCTCAAATTTGGGCAGCTTCGACATAGTGCCAGCCTGTGGAGGGAAGTTTGTAGGAAACATTTATTCAACTCCTTCAAGGATTCAGCTTCCCTGCAGTAAATGCAGGAAGAGGTAGAGACACCCCTGCGCCCTCTGCAGGGCCATTCCCAGGGCAGCTGGGCAGTGCATTGCGCCTTCTGGTGGTCAGTGTGGATCAAGCTACTAGAACAGGAAAGGAGGGCTAAGGAATTTTTTATGGAGCTGTGAATCTTACCCTAAAATAAAAAGGCTGCAGAACATTCTCAAGGACAGTGGTAGACAGCAGAATCACAGCACTCTCGGGACAGTACATGTACCAGTTCACATTGATATTATGACTTTTCAGGAGTTTCAGGCTCCGCTTCTCGGGTAGTACCTGAAGCAAAGTTTAAACAACAGAATCTTCATTTTAAAAACCAGAGGATGTGAGATTAACACAGCAAATTAAAAAGACAGAAAGCACAAAAGTCCCACGGAGTTAAACAGGAAACTCGCTTGGATTTGTTGCAGCAATGACTTCCAGAGTCCTGTGCTTAGTGCTTTCCAGATGCCACCTCACTTGCTCTTCACCCCAAAGTACTGAAGAGATAAGGAAAATGAGGCTCACGGAGGCTGCAGAGCAGCTTAACAGCAAACACAGCCCAGGCAGCTGTCACTCCAAAGTCTGAGCCTTTTGACGGCTCTCTTTCATGGAGGAAAAATCGACACAACACACGGAAGCCCACGACCTCTCCCCTCCCCACCTGCAGTACCACCAGTCCCCACCTCCTGCCAGCCGCCACTGCCAGGGAGGGGCTGCCTTTATCCAACCCAAGAGTGCATGAGACTCTGCAAAGACACACAGCATTCAGATTCAGGGCGCCTTTTAAACGCACTCTCCCCATGTTACTCCGTTAGGAACACTGTGAGTGCCCCAGGACAGCAGCATCACTTACTGAGTTCAGACCAGCCTGTCTCAAAAAACACAGCAAGACCCTGACTCAAAAAAAATCAAAAACCTGCCTTTCCATACGCTCTTAAAGATGAAAGACGTCTTAAAGATGTCAGTAAGTCACAAAGGGAGAACAGAATAAAAATGAACAGGCAGGTGCACTGGAGACACAGTAGACAGAGTGAAAGGGCAGCTACAGAGCAGGACAGAGTATTTGTAAACTGTATCTTTACTAGGGGTCAATATCCACAACATATAAAGAACTCCTACAACTCAACCAAAAAGCAAATAATCCAATTTAAAAGTGGGCAGACAGCTTCCTAGGTGTTTCCCCAGAGAGTACATGGGACATGAGGAGGTGCTGGGCTGCAGTTCCCAGCGAGAGAGCTCGTGAGTAGGGACCCCAGGCTCGGGGAAGGAAGAGGGAGAAAAAGGAGGGAGGGAAAAGGACGGAAAAAACAAGTGAAGGAAAAAAATGGAAACAGAGCTTTTGTAAATGAGAAGGGGAAGAAGGGTTGAAGGGAGGGGAGGGGAATGGAGAAAAAAAAGAATCAAGATATATCATGTCCAAGTACAAATTCCCTGTGATGAATGTGATTATTATATATTTCAAAAGTGTATCAATAGCCAGGCATGGTGGCACACGCCTGTAATCCCAGTACTCGGGAGGCTGAGACAGGAGGATCACTGTGAATTCGAGACCAGCCTGGGCTACACAGTGAGTTCCAGGGCAGTCTGAACTACATAGTGAGACCCTGTCTCAAAAGAAAAGAAAAAAAGACAAAGACAAAGACAAAGAAAAAGAAAAAGAAAAAGAAAAAAAATGTACCAATAAAATGCACTTAAAAAAAAAAAAAGAAACCTGGGGCCAGGAGTTTGGCTCAGTGGTTCTGCCACCTGCCTCGCAAGCACAAGGGCCAGAGCACAATCCCTGGTACCAAAAGAAAAAAACGTGAAAGAAACCTGGGTGTGGGTGTTCACTGAACAGCCATCTGTCACTGTAAGGAAGTGAGATGCCTGCTGTGCACAACTGGGAATCAAGGCTGTGAGTAGTTGTGTTTGTCTCAGTGATGAGGAAAGTAACGAACACAGAAATTTAGCACCAGTAAATTCTTTCTAATTACAAAAAAATTAAAACTCAGGCAAGAAGTTAAAGCTCTAGAATCTCAAATCTCTCTTTATTGCTGAATTCCAAAGGCTGCCAAACTGCCTCAGCTCTCTCTAGCAAGCATAAATAAAATACCTGGTAAAATTCAATTCCTTGATCTGTTATGAAGACGATTTCAGTAGAACTGGTCCAGCAGAATCCTAGTATGTTGGCATTCTTGGTCTGAAAGAATTATAGGAGAATTTTTTTTATTAATAAGAAAGGCAGGTACAACTCTTTTTAAAAGCTTAAATTTATTTCTTCTCAAAGGTTTAAATTTAAATGTTCTTCTCTTTGTATCACTCTAACAAACGTCACCCAGGAAGGTTGGCTCCTTCTTAACAAATCTTCTTTAAACACAGCTTTGTCTGGTTTCTACCCTCAACACTTCATTTGAGACTCTGAACCTCAATTCCTCCTGGGCAGCAGAGCCGAAGAAGCCTGAGCCTTGTAAGCAGTAACACCCAGGGCTCCCGAGACCAGCTTCAACCACAGGAGCACAACGCTGTGAATCTTCTCTTGTCAACCACCACATTATGAAGCTGGCCTGACAAGAGCACAAAGGCCTAAAGCTTCTCAGTGGATGCTACCCAAGATGGAGCTGGACACCAAAACATGACAGCCCAGGGCAAGGCTAAGGCAGGGGGCTCCTTCCTTCCTTCCTTCGTGGTGATACTGAGGACTAAAGCCAGGACTCACAATAAGCCATGCCCTTTGCCCTTTTTATTTTTATTTCTTTAAAGAGAGTCTCTCAATAAGTTGCTAAATTGCCTGGGCTGAGGTCAAATTTGCCATCCTCCTGTCTCAGCCTCCCGGAGAGCTGGGATTACAGGGTGCACCACCAGGCCCGCTAGGGAAGCTGCCTCACACTAGAGCAGCCGCAGGACTCAGTGGGGTTTGGTGACTGTCTGAAGTCCATTTAGCAAACAGTCACAGAGACACAAAGCCACTCTCCAGACACTAGCAGCATGGCTGGGTCCCTGGGGCCACAGGGCCACCTTCAGCTGAGCCCCCTCTGCCCAGTTTATTATACTCAGGGATCGGAATCCACACCTCGGGAAAGAGGCGTGAGAAGGACAACAATGTGGGGAAAGAAATCAGCAGCAGAAAAGAGGCAAACCCTCAGCAGAAAACTCCGAAGGAGGAGACCGTGTGGGAACAGGCCTGCAGGGAGGAAGCCCGGGACAGGACCGCCAACCCAACACCAGGTCACCCCGACACCAGGTCACCCCGTCACCAGCTCCTCCCAGCCTGTTCTGCAGAGGAAGAGACAGATTTTCACAGCCAGGAAAACCATCCCAGTCCCAGAGGGAACCCTGGCCGGCCTGATCTCAAGTGGGCGCCACCTCCACCCTTGACCCCGCACAACCCACAGCTCAGGCCACCAGCAGAGCACGGTCAGAGCTGCTGCCATACCTTGCACTCCTGGGTGTATTCCAGCTGAGAATTATCAGGAATAAAGTTACAAAAGTCCTGAAAGAAACAAAACAAAGGAAAATCCAGGTTGGGCAGGCAGCACAACTACCTGGGAATACCACAAGATAAAAGGACAGAAAAACTTTAAAAGTGACCAGGAAACAACGGACAGATACTCAAAGACAGGAAAGATTCAAAGACCAATGTGAATAATCAGCCCTGCCAAAAGCAGCAGATTTCCATTCAACTAAAAAAGTTAATCCAAATATTCGGGTATACTTGAATATAGTTTAGAAGCTGATTTTGAGATTCATTCCTCAAATGGGTGACGCGCCAGAGAAAACTGGTTGCTGTGTTTTACAAGAGGCTTCCCAGAAATTTAAAGAGTCCAAAGGATGGAAGGGATCAGCGCAGGCCTCTGCCTGGTCTGCAGCTCCTGCAATTCTGGGGATCGAACCCAGGGCCTCGTGCATGGTGGGCAAATGCTCTACCACCAAGCTGCACCTCCGCCCAGCACAGTGGTTAACCCTGGGAGCTACAGTGCCAACAGCTCTGCGTATCTGTTCCTCTCGCACTCAGAGATGACAGAAGTAATCGAGTGACTCAAGGAGGGAGAGGAAGGAGACAAGAAGGGAAGAGGGAAGTGGAAAAAAGAACTGAGAGGTGTTCTGAACATGTACCAACTGTGCACAATGCTGTGGTCGTTACGTACCGCAAACATGTGAATAAAAAAATTAAAAATCAATCCAGAAATAAGTAAACAGCAGGGGAGGAGCTAAAGGGCATAGACTTGGTGGAGGTGAGGTGACAACCGGCATCCAATGTGCGATCAGAGAACTGGGATCAAACACTCAAATGCTGTTTCTACCACGTAGCTCAGTAACACAAGCCACGCTGCTCCACATCTCTCAGGGCCTCCGCTCTTCATGTACAACCAACCACACCTGCAAGAACAGATTCCTGTGTTCCTGGCTCACAGGCCAAAGCACAGCTGTAACCCAAACACAGGGCCACAACACACGCATGAAGCTGTCTCTAAATTTAAGAACTCGGTAGCATTTATGAAAACGTAACATTCACTCTAGGTTTGTTGCTTTTGTTCTCACAGGTGTTATGTCCAGGTAGGCACCAGTTGAGAAATAAAATCTTTTAAAATTAAGGTTTTAAAAGAAAAAAACAGAGGGACTCAAATAAAGCTAAGCATCACTGTAGCCAAAAATGTACCTTACGAAATGCGAGCTGCTGTCCAACAACACAGAGCTGCGTGATGTTCCAAGTTGCTTTTGAAAAAATTCTGAAGTTCAAATGTCAAACTAAGTCAGATTTATCCACTCAAATTATCTTTCTCATCTGTAAAGGCTCAAATGTAATGCTTATATAACTGTACCTTTCAGGAGAGTAAAATACTGTAAATGTTTCCTTGAAGGCTAGCATTCTGCAATTCCTTCTCTTCCAAATGTACTTTTTCTTTCTTTTCCTTTTTTAGTTTTTTATTGGTACCACAAATCAAACTCAGGGCCTCAAGCTTGCCAGGCAGGCGCTGTACCGCTGAGCTACATCCCCAGCCCTCAAACATACTTTGCTTGCTGAGTATCAAGCCCAGGGCTTTGTGAATGCTGGGAAATCAACCTACCACTGAGCTGCACCCCAGTCCCAAAAGTACTGCTAATGTTCTCTTTAATTCTATTTTTTAAATTTTTATTTATTTATTTATTTTTGGTACAGGGGATCAAATTTGCACATGCAAGGCAGGTGGAGGCGTTACTGAGCTAAATCCCAGCCCTTTAATGCTATTTTTTAAGGACTATCTTACCACAGTCTTCGAGGTCCTCTGGACAGCCAGTATCTTATTTTCTAAGGAAAACTTAATACACTTCACTTCTCCTTTATCGTCCATTCTTTAAGAAAAAAGAACATGTTAAGAGTTAAAATAAACAACTGAGTTCTAATAACTGTCTTTTTCTTAACACATGGTCTCTCCACGTAGCTCAGGCTGGCCTCCAACTAATGGCAATCCTCCTGCTTCAGCCTCCCAAATGTCGAGATTAGCCCTACCTACCAGCATTTATAAAGACAAAACACAAGATAAACACTCAACAGCATATCTTAGTAAAACATCAGAACTATGTTTCTGAAGCTGACAATAGGATCTCTTTTCAAACAAAACCTAGCTGGGAACAATTTGCTGACAAGCTGGACAGTACAATGTATAACAAGACAGGAAAACTAGGATCACCTGTACCTGTTACCTGAGACTCAGTTCACACAGAGATACGCCATGTACCGTACAGTGGTCTTCTCCATGCACATGGCCTCTCTCCCCACTGTTCTTACCTGACAGAGGTGCCTGCTCCCACTCCCATCCCATCCCTGCACACCTCTGCCAAGCCATCTCCCTGCTCACACTGCCTCGAACCACATTAAAGGGGACTTCAAGGCTGAGGCAGGAAGAGAAGAGCTGGAGGCCAGCCTGGGCGGTACACAGTGAGTTCGAGGCCAGCCTGAACTACAGAGTGAGACCCTGTCTTAAAGAGGGGGTGGCTCTAAAGGCACATTACAAATCTAGAAAAGAAAAAATATGAGAAAAGGAAAAAATGGAAACAAAGTCTTTATAAATAGGGGAGGATGGAGGGAGTGAACGGCCAGGGTGTGAGGAAAAAATGAGAACCAAGACCTGTCACGTAAAGGTATAAGATCCCAGTGGTGAATGTAACTGTACTGTATACTGAAAAAAATAAATAAATAAAAATAAAGGTGGATTACAGATACACACGCAGCCGTGGGTATGAACTTGCTCCTTAAGTTGCTTGTGGGAAGGCTGACACTCCCCACACCCCCGGGCCTGGGCCTCACCACAGCCTCCAAGCACAGCTCAGTGGGGTGGCAATCGCCTCCTCACAGCCCTGGTTCTGTGCCCAGCCCGTGACTGGCACCTCAAAAGCCCAACCGTAGGCATGTGAACAGTGTGATGGTCCCAAATCCAGACGTCATCACACTGGCCAACCTGACAATCTTCAGGGATAGGCAAGCTTTAACTGCACAGGAAGCACACAGGGCTCAAGGAGGCCTTCCAGTGACCACAGGACATCTCTCCTCCGCCTGGCTTCCAGGGACACGGACCTGCAGTCCCCAAGGCACCAAGCCCTTGCCCCCGGTGGTCTCACCTAGAAGCCTCCCGATCACTTGCCTAGAAATCCTCCACTCTTTAACAGCTTGCTCAGGGGCTACCCCCCCAAGCTGTCCCACAGTCAAGTCACATCCCTCCTGTGTCACCTGAAAGCGGACTTGGGCGTCCCTTGCTCAGTGCCTAGCTCAGGGCTGCCATCAGTGTTCGCTAGGCAGATGACAATAAAATATTAAAGTGAAGTCGACTATTTTCTATTTCAAAAGCACTTCCTGTTAACACAGACCAACTGTAAAATTTCTTCTTACAGTGGCCACTGAATTTGGACCTGTGTTTTACTTTCTCTGCTGTAATCACAGTATTAAAGTGACCTGAGTGTTTGCCACCAAAATCAGATACTTCTGAAAGTGAAAGGGGCTGCTGTTAACCACATCACCTCAACTTGTGTAAACGGGGACATCCGGTCACCCTAAATACGAGGATTTTATCATTTTACAAGGGAAATGCTGACTCTCCTCCACCGAACACTCTAGAAAGACCATGCCGACTGGCTGGCTAATTTCAAGTTCTGTACCAGGAAGCAGGTGCCCTATCTTTGGAGTACTTGGTTCCACACCAACTGGCGCGCACACTTCACTCCGAGAGAAGTTCTGTACCTGTACGAGCTCCAGGACAGGCACACATGCGCGCGCGCGCACACTCACACACTCACACACTCACACACTCCTTCTTCTGGACTCTAGGGAAAGCGGACAAAATTACACAACCACTTTCGGATCACAAAAACACCATTCTGGTTTACATGAGGAAATTATTCGAAAATGGCAACCCTGTTACCTAAATGAGATGGGATTCCTGTCGTCTGTGCCTTTGACTACCACCCCGGTAGCTCCACCTGATCGGACAGCGAACACCTGCGAGGGAAAAGCACCAACGTTAAGGGCCTTAAGGCTGAAAGGATCGAGACTCACAGACCAACCTAGCAGTGGCGCTCTCTGCTATACTCCACCCAGCTCCGCCAAGCTAGCAAGGAACAGGTGCTCGGCCGCTCACAGGATCGCTAAGTGTGGAGACCACAGGGCTCTCGTGCCAGGGTTTCCCACTGCGCAAGTCCGGCTCGGG